ATGCATATTTACTTTTTGCAATTCATAAGAAGAGTAAAAGAAACTTGTTGAAATATCGCAATTTGAGAATTTTATACTGTATTTAACAATAGAACATTAAATAAAGCCATTATTATTATTATTATTATTATTATTATTATTATTATTATTATTATCACTATTATTTATTCACAAAATAAGCTTCAAATCTCTCACGATCAGTGTCTCTTGATTTCCAATAATTCTTCGATTGATATCAGTTTTAAGTGAAAGCTGTTTTTATAAATTTAGCATTTAAAAAGGACTATTGCTACTAACTTTTTAAAGAACTGATGATATTAAGAAAACGGATACCATTAATGGTACATTCGATTTTTGGTAGTAATTTACGACAATTATAAATATAATTCAAAATGATTACTTTAATGACTCAACCGTTGAAGAATACCATGTTTGTCAAACGTTAAAAGTGAACCGTATGTATCATAATAACCTATCAATTTGCAATACAAATAATCCAGAATTGAAAATGACGTTACATTTCACATCGGTAGAAATGATTCTTACCATTAGGAAAGATGAAGAATAAAATTTACTGAATAAGACAACATAAAACGTCCACTCATATTGACAGTTATGTTTAAATCGGAATACATCGATGGAGTTATTATGTAATGGAGGGGCTATAACGTAATCTTATCTACCAGTCCCTTAGTTATATACAACAAAAGACCTGACACTGATTCAAGTCGTCACATTGTAATAACACGATAAGATCATATTATCAAGGCAAATCTCAGAACAGTAGAATTAGTAATAGAATCAGTAGAGGTTAAATATCCCACTAACAACCATTCACGCCTTTGAATTATAAAATATTTTTCTGATTTTAATATACTATCAACACGCAATACGAGTTCTAACTAAGTCTGTATACCTGCAACAAGTAATTCTTTTGAGAAATTGAATATTAGCAAACGATAATGAAATTTCTTAAATGAGAAGAATATATCACACTTTTTACCAGTAAACAATAAATTTACTAATTTCTTATCGATTAAAGATTACATTATAAAGTCTCATCACAATTTGTACTTCTTAAGTACGGTTAGGTTGTCATTACATAAATGAAAACGTGGAGCTGAATTGTATACACTGATATTAAGCTAAATGAAAGGAATATTGTTGTGAATATACAAATAAACAGACAGAAACAAACAAATAGTGAGTGAATGAGTGGAAGAATTGAGTTTTTAGGCTGTGTGTGGCATGTCTAGGATTAAGCTTTTATTGGCCTTGATACATCATGATATCAGTGTATAAACAATTGTCGGTGTCCTATTTCTAGTTTATTCGTCCACATTTCATTGTAAGTTCAGTGAGAGAGATAGATAGAAAATATTTTAATAGGACACGCTTTTAGATTGCCTCAATTTCTAGACAGCCAATTGAAAAAACCTCGTGTGCACAGGTTGTATTCTTCTCTTCTCTGATTGGCCATCAGACTAATGGTAGACAAACGCAGGATTTATTAATGATAACCTATTGCTACCGGAACTAATCGCCTACGTAAAGATAACTTGTTAGTATCCCTATTCTGATTTGTCAGCTTTGTCTGCGTGCATCATCTGGTGAACACTGTACTGATATCATAACTACTATCATTACTATCATTATCATTACTTTTTATGTTCATATTAGTGTTTTATGCAAATACCTAAAACAACTATCTAGTTCACCCCACTTCCACATATATTTATGAAATCATTTTTATAATAAACACTGAGACATCATAAAAACTATTTTATTTTTAAAAATACTATGTGTTAGTAGCTATTTACTAGTTCTACTACTCTTAATTCCATAACTACAACAAATATTGACAAACTATTGAAACTCTGCACATCTTGTATGGAATAAGCTTGATTAAAAAACCAATTATTTAATTATTATTATTGTTGTTGTCGTTCTACATGTCTGATAATTATTAGCAATTTATTCACTGTGCATAATTTAAATCGTAGCAAGTGTATTTCGAATGTCATCACATCATTTTATGAAACTGACAAACATTCATTTCAATACAACAATTATTACTGCTACTATTACGGCTGCTATTAATATCACTCTTTTTATTTGTTCAATCCATATTTAACACTAACAGAAGCATTTCAGTGTCCAATGTATCAAACAGTATAATTGTATTCGAAACTCCGATGATGATATTCAACACAGACCAAAGGTTTTAACGTATTTAAGCTTCTGTTGAGTTACAATTTTTTTCTTGTACCAATTTTTAATACTGAAAGAAGAATTTAAAAATTAAAATCTCTAAAAAAAATCGATAAATTGAAACTAAACTCATGATGGATGTAAGTGGTACTGATCCACGAACAAGGACTGGATTATTTTTATGGCCATGGGCAAGTTATCCTGCTGTTGCAGCAAATGCTGCTGTCGGTGCACATGCACAACCAATTATGATGGGTGCAAACGCTGGAGCAATGAATGCTATGCCTGGTTCTAATATGTTGAATGTATCATATACAGGTTCTGGATCTGCTACTATACCTGGAATGATTGAAGATCCATTTGAAAGTTTTTGTCAACGATTCTCTTATACTGGTGCACATGCAGCGCATATGTCACATATACTTCCACATCAACATGTTGGATTAAGTGAAACACGTCATTTATCACAAGATCATGAAACAAGTGATAATAATGATGGTAATCGTCATCCAAATCATTCACCATCTATAAATCATACACGTGCACATATTACTTCACATCGTCTGCTTTCTGTTCAACCTCGTGGTAATATTAATCATTTACATCAAGACACTAACAGCACAAATGGATTAAATGACCAGTTAAACGATCCCAGTAATAATACTAATAGTAATCCAACAGCCGGTTCGAACAGTCATGCTGCAGCGATCGCTGCTTTTGCATCGGCTGCAGCTAATTCTGCTATAATGGGTGCAAATGATCCAACTTTAGGCAATTCTAATGGTTTATCTTTATCACATGGTATACAAGTACCGCGTCATGTACAGTCTAGTTTACGAAATTCCAATACAAATGAAATGGTTTTAGATAACTTGTGCAATGGTTTTGCAAAACCTAGTCATTTTTCAACTCAACTACAATCAAGTGTAACAAATGCTTTAAATAGGCAGCAATCAGCGATCACCTCGGTGAATTGTAATAAATTACAAACGGATACAATAACTCCGTATAATTTACACTGTCACCATTTGAAAAATCTAGGTAATCCAGCAGCTGTTGCTCTAGCCGCTGCCGCTGTAGTTGGTGGAGGTGGTGGTGGTGGCGGTGGTGTTGTCGGCGGCTGTGTTGGTACAATTGATCATTCACAATTTCAAACAACATTGAACAACGAAATTCGCGATAATTCAACACCTACAAGTAATAAGCATTTGGATGAACAAAGTTCAACTAGTAATAGTAATAATAATAGTAGTAATAACACAAGAAGGTCGAATTCAAACAATGATAGTTATTCAATTTCTCATGGACAACAACAACAATTTATGTTTTCACCAAAAAGTCCTCTTTCTGATTCATTGGAAAATCCAAATAAAAGTGAATCAAATACAGGTATTGATCATACAACACATAAATCAACTCGTGGTAATACAAATTTATTGAATAAAAACAATGGTCGATTATTGTCTGGACCACAACAAGATAGGATTAATAATTTAATTTTTAGAAATTCTACTTTAAGAGCTACAGAATGTTCACCGGAATCCACAAATACGATAGCACCAGATCGACATTCATCAGATATGGTCATGGATGATGTATTAACAAGTCAAAGAGAAGATAATAATACAACTAACAATAATGTCACAAGTAGTAATAACAATAGTAATAATGGTAATGTACGAGTAGAATCAAGATTTCTCGGGATAAATCAAGAGGAAAATCTATCAATTAATGGTATATGTAATGGTGAAGGTTCTTTATCATCCATACTGTCTGTTCCAAATGGTCATACTCCATATCATCCTCCAGCTAAAGGTTACAAATGTAAAATTTGTCAACATGTAAGTTTTTTTACTAAATGTTTTCCTAAAATTAAGCTGCAACCATGTAGATGATTAGTTTGATTCGTATCAAAGTTTGAAAATGTCTTCCGTTATAATAAAATTGAAGAAATACGTGATTTTTAAACCTTAGAGCTCTTTTTGAGTTCACTCTAGTAGATAATATTAACATGAGTCATTTACTTACACCATATTATTTTTGTCAATAAGCATTCATTATCTGTTGGGAATTGTATATGCGTTAGAACTTATGTCTTAATTGATTTTCTAATCAAATAACTAACAAGTGATTACGTAATATGATGCCAAAAGTGTACTGTGAATGGACCTTATTTGATTTGACTAAATTTTTTTCACCAGTAAACTTGATGTCCGTTGAGGAGAGTTATTGAAAACTAGGGAGTGAATGCTTACAATTATATTGTCTTATATCAAAATGAAACAGCTATCTAATTCATTCGAGTCATAGCTATCACGGAATGAGATGGATCTTCACGAGATCAACTTATCTAAAGTAAATTTAATACAATTATTGTTACCTCACATCCCATTTTCTAGGAAATTTATTCCTCATATAAATATCTTAATATTCAAGTGAGCATAATGATTGTGTGTTTATGCTCTAATGTTTAGTCATTATTGATATGCGTGACTTTTTACTTAACTATATAGATAAAATTAGACGTCCGAGAAAAAAGACATTTAATGTCCAAAATCTAGGTGAATTTCAATAATGTCAATGTTTAGCTGTTCAAATTAAATTTATCAAATCAGTGTAATGAATTAACCTAAATTATTTGATCTGGTCTATTTTACGTTGTTTATGTCAATAAATCATTTGTAATTTGTTCCTATTAATATAAAGTATTTGGTGAATCTGATTGATACATACTGTCTTGAATTGAATGGCGTATTCACGTATATATACTGGTTATGCTTATTAACAAAGACTTATAATTTGAGTGAAAAATTGAAAGACATTGTACAAAATCATTGATTTATTAATTTTGTAACTACGATATATACTCAACTGATCATGAAAAAAATTTAGAAAACTTTTTTGATCCTTCGATTAGCAATGAGATTTTGTCATTGATTTGTACATTCTAATTCGAATGATACGTTTATATGTTGTGATGACTAATTCATCGAGCTAAATACTTTATTCTAAACTTGAGTGTAATCTTGACGGAAAGAATAATGTTTGATAAAGATCTGATTGAATGGTTTTGCAATGATATCGGATGTTTATCAGATGATTTCTACCTCGTCTTTTTCGTTTGGTTGAGGATAAACTGCCATGAACAGGCAACTTAATGATTTACACACTCGTTACGACTCGTAATTTGTAGATTCAAAATGTAACCCAATAAATACAGCTTAGAAATTTGAGTAGTATCGATTAACTGAGTTTTTATAACATTCTATTATGAGTGACAGTCTATTTACTGTGGTGAATTATTTTGTATATCCCTGGAAAAATACTATCGAATTTGGTATTCAATTGATAGTCTAGAGTTTACCGAAAGAGATCGATGGGAACCGAGTAAAACTGAATGAATACTTGTTTGATTATTTCCAAACCATTCAGGGGACTTCATTTTTGATCAATGTAACGGTAATTTTCTTCCTACTTTTCAGTTTTTGATGTATATTTTATACACCCAACTTTCAATATTATTTCTGAGTCCCAGTGAATAACAACAGGATATTAGTAACAACAGTTTTTAAGTCAAATAAACTACAAGTCTATTAAGCATTTGTTGATTCTAAATATAGTAATAAACGTAATTATTCAATCAGCATATTTATGATGTTGTTTATCATAAGTTTCAAAACAGTTGTATTTTTCTACATCACTAGCCATTGAACACATAATCTACAGTGTATTCTACTTTATATATTTCCTTTGTTCACTTTAAGTATTGTTAAGCATATTGTATATTCGAGTGTATCTATGCATGGTTGTTTATGCGTTCACATACTCTCTATTCAAATTCAAATAGCAGGTATTAAAATGACATTGAGACTGTGAATACAAAAATGTTGATTTTGTAATATCGAATAGAAAACTTCATTGTTAGTTCATTATTTTTAAAAAGTATATACAATCAAATCGGCTGTGTTATACATACCTAATCAAGATTTACTCATAAAAAATATTGACGACATATATCATTATAACACCATTATCTACCACATATAGTCAATGATGAAGGTTTGTGATAGATAATTTTATTATTTTGTAATCATATTAGAAATTAAATTCATTTGGTGCTTGTTTGAATCTTCCCATTGATGTTTAGGACTGTAATTGACTAGTCTCTTATTGGCATATGTACATTCCGTGGGGATTGCCTCGATATTACCTCAAGGCACAAACATTATTAGCAAAGATGGATGGTGGCTAACAATGGAATCCATGAGGTGCGTTTCATCTTATTTAGGACTCGTCAGCTGTATGTACCCACATCTCAATGTTGATGTTCACTCCGGGATTCGAACCCTATATATATATATATATATATATATATATATATATATATATATATATATATAGTTTTCAGTTTTGCATAGAAAAAGGAAAGTATTAGTATTTATTACAATCAACTGTAGTATATATTATTTCTAAATTTTTACTTCCCTTTTTCTAGAGAGGAAATAATGCTTTTTAATACAGAGAGCACAAAATCATGTAAGGCCTTAAAGTCAGTAGGAATTCATTTGGGTTTTTTTTACTGTTATCAACATATCCTCAGAACATAACGTACATGTTACATGATCGCCACCAGCATCACCATCATTTTAGTGATCTCATAGAATTTGATTGGTCAATATCAACTTGATTTATACATTAGAAAACTAATTACTGTAAAATAATAACCAATAGACATTTTGAAGGTAAATTTTTCACTACATTGATTTACTACAAAATTATATGTGTTCATCTACATCAATCTGATAGGTCTTGATGATTTTTTATTCAGAAAAAATTTATTATACAGAAAAAATATTTGAGTAAACTTCTAGAGACAAATTTATATGGGTGATCATCATTTGTCTAGAAGATTTCAATCACAGTGTGTAAGTAGTAAAATCATGTATATATTTTTTGGTATTAATTAGACATGTTTCTTTTGTTTGTTTTTTTCGCCAGCTGTTTTCTTCTACTTTTCACCCATACTTTTACACTGATAAGTTAGTTTTGTAGTTGAATCAGAAGTAAATTTTAGTCAAGTTGAGTATTCATTCCTTATCTTACTATTAATAGACACTCCAAGTTTCAACGGTCAGTAATATCATGTACTTGCCTGATGTTTCTTTCTGTATCCATCTTTATGATTCTATCATAGATACATATGTCAAATTTCACATTTAACAAGGTGATAAACTGCATGTTTGGTTTATTTGATTTTTGTATACTGGCTGAACTACAATTTTGTCTTAAACTAGTTCAAACGTGCCTAAATTTAAGATTAGTGTTGAATTACATGTGTGAAGTGCAGAGTAAAATTTTCAGAGCGTGTTAAATTATATGTTTGTATATATATATGAATAATGACGTAAGTAAAGTGTCTGAATTTACGATACTATATATATATATATATATATATATATATATATATATATATATATATATATATATATATATATATATATTCAAATTGTTAATAACATTGTGTTAAACGAAATTATTTCAGGATCAAAGTACCTTTCCCTGTCTATCTGTGCATATCCATAGCCTTTATTCTTTGTTGTAATTATACCTTGTAAAATAAATAAACTTTATATTCACATAATATCTTATTATTTGAAATCTATATTCTGTCACACAAATAAATTTGGCTCTATATTATATATATAGCATATAGATTTAATTGATAGCAACCAATTGCTATCTATAGCGCCTTTATGTTTGTTTAAAATTTATACATTGAATACATTCTATTGTTAATGATTATATTCTCCTTGAGACTCTAGTCTAGCATTGATCAATTCAAATATCAACATTGTTATTGATCGTACTATCAATTTTTCAGAAGTAACTACTTGTTCTGTTAGCACAAGATAATATTTTTCCTGTAATACTTCAAGATTTTCTTTTTTGTTTCTCTATAGTTCGAACTATATTGATCACTTTCTATTGGTATAAACTGATAATGTTTTCAATAAATTTGTAATTTGGCATGTCAATTAAAAATTTCATGTTATAAAATCTATACTAAGCACAATAACAAATGTGTATTATAATACATTTTTCAAGAAAATTATATATTACAATAAACTTGTAATGACAATTAATTAAACTTATTACAAATATTGTCTTCATGTTACTAAGATAAAAACCGTACGTATTAGTATGGATGTAACTAATGAAGTTACTCAGAATAGATTGTGAATATCATTCATAACTTTTTAATATTGTTTGAGTAGTTTATAAGAACTACCACCATAAAAAAATGCAATTTAGTATAGATTGTTACTACGACCCAATTGTTTTTCTTTTAAAAAAAGTATTAGATACTTTGTTCATGTATAATTTTTTTTTGTCTGGAGAAAAAAGAACAAATAGATTTAGGAGCAAAATAGGTCAGAATCCTATTTCGTTTGTTACCTCTTGTTGGAATAGTTATCTGAATATTACTGCATCGAGTTGCTACAATAATGAAGTTGCGACGAATTATTATTTTATAACAAAAACTTATGATCCAGGTTAATATATTTAAGGATGGTTTTTCCAAATTAATCTTATAGCGAATAAAGACAGAAGATTATGACGAGTGTGGAATCAAGTGAACCAGAATCAGGACATCTATACCACACAGAGAATATTTCGACTAACAGTCAAGTCATATTCGTGATCAATTAAAATTCTAAACATTTAGATCAAATGAATTTCAATTCAGCGTAGATGAATGATATTAGGAAGCTATTGAGAAAATCTAGATGTTTTGAAATTTACCTAGTGTGTTTAACCCTGATAGTCGTAGATTTTCACTGTTGTTCCAGTCCAAAACGTAGGACTGAATAAATGGCATTCTGGTTATTTGATAATTATTATGCAATGTGTAATGAATAAATGCGACTTCAATTTTTTCTGTGATGAATTAATAGTTTTTTTATATTTTTGAAACATAAATAACTTGTGAGACGTTTTATGTAGTAAATTTTATTTCGATACCCTTTATATTGTTGATAATAACGATGATGATGGCAGTAATATTAGTAATAAAATTAATTTTATTAGTTATGATAAATTGTGCAAAGTCGATTACTGTGTTGATATAACTGTTTAATTGAAGTACAGGATATGTTAACTATGTTCATACATAATCCTACTTATCGGTGCTTGACAGTGTACGTTTGGACATGTTTACGGGTGAATATACATCTGTATGGACCCTAGTGTATTCATATTATTGTCACCATTTTATTATCATTATTATTATCATTATTATTATTATTGTGCAAATGACTGTATATGGAAAATGGCTGTTACTGAAAGTGGAATTTCAGTCTCTATACTATTTCATCACCATAACGATAATTTTTGATGATGATGATGATGACCGTGTCAATATAAATGGTAGACGGCATTATTTTTTTATTGTTATTTAACTAATATTTATCGTTTTATTAAATTAACTAACTGAAATACAACTCCCATTCTTCAGTTATTTTTTGTCTTGGTAACAGTTTAATAAACACTTAAATTTTTCTTGAGTATACATTTGGAAAATTCACCCACACAATATAACAATAAAAACAGTCATAGTTATGATGGTCAAAATGTCTTTACCTTCGCCTAAGTACATCACATTATAGTTTTACTAAAGATTTATTAGCTCTTGCTTCTCTCTTCATTAGTTTACTAGCCTAAAAGAAAATACACAATGATTAACTCTAAGCTATTATTGTTGGTTAACTAATGATAGACAGAAACGTTTTCTTTGTTCAATGAGTTTTTAAATAACGTTCTACAGATACTTACTTATGCCTGCTACCCCTCGTGTAGGAACATAGGCCGCTCACCAGCATTCTCGATTCAACCTTGTCCTGGACAATCCTTTCCAGTTGTTTTAAGTTGCTACTCATCCTTATCACATCTGCTTCCTATTCTCGGCTCAGAGTGTTATTTGGCCTTTTTCTTTTCCGCTTCCCTTCGGGATTCCAAGTTGGCGTTTGCAGTTTTATGATTTCCTCAATGTGTGTCCTATCCACTTCCAACGTCTTTTTCTAAATTCCTCTTCAACTGGAAGCTGGTTTGTTCTCTTCCACAGTAGGCTGAACTTGCTATATATATACACGAATTAATTTTATGAATAGTTGAAATAAATAATATTGGTTGTATACCATCTTCATGTGCTTTGTGTGAAAATGGCTTTTGTTACAGAAGCAGTATTAACTTGGAAAGAAATAGAAACCAAAAATTCTAAAAAGCTATTTAATCCTGTTATAAAACTTAGCATTATTGCTCAACAACAACAGTCTCAGAAATAATTAAACTTGAGAATTTTAAAGCCACATGGTTAGCGTATCACTTTGAAATCCCACATTTGTAAAGTTAGATCACCTAAGATATTGCATTAATCTCATCATTACCAACTAGTTTACATG